ATCAAATGCACTATCTTCTTAGTTCTTGGCTATTTGCAATGAAAGCTGCCAGTCTACTAAGTTTTTCCAGGAGCCTGTATGAAGGAATCCCATATCTATGTTAAGAACATTGTATTGAAGAGATAGAGAGAAATGCCGTTTTTAAATTCATATGTAGTTACTGGCCATGAAGAACATAAGTAGCTCCCTTTAGTCTGGTATACTCTACTGATACCGTAATGATACTAACAATAGTAATAGCATCTTTGAATGGACCATAAGAGATATCAGATTAAAGTCAATATGTAAAAAACAAACAGAAGAAATAATACAGTGATGTCATTGAATGTTATAGGACAGGGGTCCCCAAGCCCCAGTACTGGTTCATGGCCTGTGGCTTGTTATGGACTGGGCCACACAGCAGGAGGTGAGTGGCAGGTGAGCAAACATTTCCGCCTGAACTCTGCCTCCTGTCAGATCAGGGTGGCATTAGATTCTCATAGGAGTGCAAACCCCATTGTGAACTTCGCAGGCAGGGGATCTAGGTTATGTGCTCCTTATGAGAATCTAGGAATACATGTAATGTGCTCGAGTCATCCCAAAACCATCACCCAGAACCCCCCCCTCCTGTCCATGGAAAAATGGTCTTCCATGAAATCCGCCCCTGGTGCTACAATGTTGGGGACCATTGTTATATGACTAAAAACATCCAGGTCATGGAGAATTAAGTTAATAACTTATATTTACCTGTGTTAGTATCATAATCATTTAAATTGTATGACTCCCAGGGGACTTAAATTCATGCAGAAGTGTTTAAAATAGATTCTAACTACTATATTTCTAGTAGATCAAATTGTTACGATGGCCAAATGACAAAAGGTAAAATTTCTGCCATTTTAGTTGTACCAAAAAGATCAGAGAAAAGTAAAGAGAGAACCTTAAGAAAAGTCTTGTTCAACTCCCTCTTCCTGTTTGGAGAATAAAAATCAGGATAAGAGAAACAAATTAACTTGTCCATGGAGTTTTGATAAGTATTTAATCTCAATAATCACTAAATCCTTTTTATTTTATTTTATTTTGATTTATTTTTTATTTTGAGATGGGATGTTGTTCTGTTGCCAAGGCTGGACTGCAGTGACACAACCACTGTTCACTGAAGCCTTGATCTTCCAGGCTCAAGTGATCCTCCTGCCTCAGCCTCTTACATAGCTAATACTACAGGAACATGCCATCACACCTTGCTACATTTTACAAATTATTTTTAGTAGAAACAAGGTCTCACTGTGTGTGTTCTCAACTCCTGGACTCAAGTGATCCACCTGTCTGAGCCTCCCAAAGTGCTGTGAACACAGGCATGACCCACCATGCCTGGCCACTAAATCTTTTTTTAAACAACAATTTTTAATCCTAAAATATAAAGGATTCAGAGGAATCCCATATTGTTTGGGGTAATTAGAACCACTATTTCTATTTCATTGGAATAGATTCTGAAAATCAAAATTTCACCAAAATTTAATGGATCAGTTTATTTATCTTTATTGTCTGATAGATTCCCTTCCTATAATTTCTCATGAAATACAATCATTTATTATTTTTAAATCCCATTTATCTTCATATTTGATTTTCCCCTTCTGTTGCGTTTTTCTTTAATTGATTCCTTGAAGCTGTTCTGAAATTTTCACCCATATCTGCCACATGATTTGATTGGCTAATTGTCTTCTATGGAAGCACACCTATTATGAAACTGTTACAAAAACATTTTTTAAAGTCAATTTCAGGTAAGCAAACCCATCAGACATGATCTTACTGAAAACTAATATTTTCAGAAAGCTTTTTACTTATTTTCAGGGACTGTCTCTGGGTTTAGCATTTCATATTATTAACAGTGCAATGACAAACCCAGGGCACGGGAGTTAATAATGGGATGTGCTTTTTTCTCTAGCTTTTATAGAAAATATTCAAATGAGCAGAAGTTTTAAAAGCCCTGTTCAATACTGAGCTTTAGAAATTAAAATAAACTGACAATTTGACTCTGACAAAGTAAGATTCAATTAGGCTTGAAGATAGGTCAGTCTAAAGGGGCTCAGGGAGAAATAAACTTCTATTAATTTTTAGAAAAATCTAGTAAGAACAAGCCATTTGTGACTTTGTAGTTAGGTTCTTAGAAAAAGTTTACTAAGATTTGCTTTCTATGAGGTGGTAAAAGCTGCAAAATGAATTATGGTGAAAATATGCATTCTACTTTTTATTTTTCCTTATTAAATTTAGCAAGGAAATTTTCCTGAGCCTTTCCCACTAGTGAATTTATTGCTTTAGAACTATTTCTGCTTTCACTCATTTAATAAAGATCAAAATATTATATGAATGATTTAATTGTTTCTAGACAGATTTTCTTCTCCTAATGAGTAGAGAAATATGAATTCTGCAAGCTCTGAAAAAGCATTTACCCAGGGTTCTTTGGAGCCACCTATATAAATGAAAGATCAAAATTGCATCATGGTCTTAATAAGAAAAACAAGCATAAGAGGTAAAGAAAATGAAATCATATCTCTTTTTTGTAAAGTAATAGAGTGTATCAGGTTTTGTTCCTTATTGTGAAATAACAAATTTTTAGAGAAAACAAACATAAGAGAATAAAAACAAATTGTAATCACATCAACTAGGTCACTTGTTAAATTATATATACCCGTGCATGTGCCTCTGTGTGTGTCTGTGTGTGTGTGTGTGTGTGTGTGTAATATTGGAGCAAAGATATGGGAGCCTGACCTTTGCAAAATGCCATGGGCTCCCTAACCAGACACGGAGTACCCATCTCTAAATGATTTTTCATGAGAGAAAAATGTCTATATTGATTAATATATTGTTATCTTGAATTTCTCTACTGTAGACAACTCCAACTAATCTATGTACACATACACATGATCTATTTTGCTTATCATAAGTTATTTCGCATTTTTTTAAATTTAAAAAGTAATGCATTCTAGTATCATTTATCTTAATTACTGGAGGATTTTTTTGGTACCTCTTAAATTTTACACCTGAGGAGAGTAGTGTCTTACTTACCTCATCCTAATCCTGGCCTTGAAGTCAAACATAGCAAAAGATAAAAACATAGAAAATGAATTTGAGCCCTCAACTTCATGTTACAGAAAGCTTCTTTAAAGATGCTTTAGTGAAAAGTATTAAGAAAATATGTAGACTTGTATGTCAGTTTATACTTCAGAAATCCATATATTTGTCATATTTATATTTTTAGAAACTTAATTGGATGACTAGATGGTATTTAAAATGAAGGCCTAAAAATATCTTGTACCTTTGTCCAAAAGTTTATCTGTTGGAAGCTGTCAGCCATTCACGTACAGAGTTTATAAGAAAATAATTTTAAATTGTATGCATTTTATATTGCTATGGTATCTGTGTACCATATTTCTAAATATCATTATTAAACTAGTACTTCTTAAAACAAAAAAAATAGACAATGATATAAACAGATATAGTTTTTTAATCAAAGAACTAAAATCATACAATGGTACAATATGCATTCAAAATTAAATGAAGTTCTTACACACTTTGCAGGATACGCTTTTTGGTTGCAGAATAATCTACTTTATTCGGTTACTGTTTTTGATGTTTCTTTTACATCACTAAGTACTCTTAAGTGTAACACTTAATGATTACTAGTGAGATCATATTCAAGGTATTTTGAGTTCTTAAATGCAAATTTTAATGATCTCCAATATGATCAAACTCAAGATGTGTTATGTTGAAGCAATCCAAAGTTAAACATTTGCCCGAAAATTTCATAGACTCCTATGTCCCTCTATGGAACAGCAGACTTACAACAGTCTAGTGATAGATTTGCAAAAATCAAGAAACTATACAGTGTCAAAAAATAGATCAAAAGTTTATCTTCATGGAATCATTCATATTCATTGATTTTATTGACTGATATTGATAATATCCCTAATATTCTATTTTATGAATCCATTTGGAAGCCACTTAATATGTAAGGATATTTTATCAAAGGATGTCAACTACAGACAATAACATATATTAGTTTTCGTTCTGTTTTGTTTTTTTTTTTTCTTTTTTTTATATGAAGTTTTGCTCTTGTTGCTCAGGCTGCAGTGCAGTGGCACGATCTTGTCTCACTGCAACCACCGCCTTCTGGGTTCTAATGATTCTCCTGCCTCAGCCTTCCAAGTAGCTGGGGCTACAGGTGCGTGTCACCACACCCAGCTAATTTTTGTATTTTTAGTAGAGACAGGGTTTCACCATGTTGGCCAGGATAGTCTCAATCTCTTGACCTTACAATCCACCCACCTTGGACTCCCAAAGTGTTGGGATTACAGGCGTAAGCCACTGCACCTGGACTTTGCTTTGAGACAGGGTCGCGCTGTCACCCTAGCTGGCATGTGGTGGCATGATCACAGCTCACTGCGGGCTTGACCTTCTGGGCTCAAGTGATCCTCCTGCCTCAGCCTCTAGAGTAGCTTGGACCACAGGTACACGCCACCAAACCTGGCCAATTTTTCTATTTTTTGTAGAGATGGGGTTGCTGTATGCTGCCCAGACTGGCCTCCAACTCATGGGCTCAAGTGATCCTTCCACCTCGGCCTCTCAAAGTGCTGAGATTACAGGCATGAGCCACTGCACCCAGACACATTTATTGTTTGTGTACATATTTACAATCATTATTTGGTTCATCCTAAAAAAAAAAAATCTGTCTGAATTTTATCTCTACTTAAATGAGGAAGCAACAACATTTAAATAGTCAAGTTTACTCAGCCTCCAGGAATCAGGATGAGAGACAGTACTCACATCCTTTTTACTCAATTTAGCCTGATGATCCATAGAATTACTGTAAGTCAGCAATCAGCAAACTTTTTTTTTTAATAAAGAATCAGATAGTGAGTGTTTTAGATTGTTTGGGTCCACATATAGCCCCTGTGTCACCCACTCAATTCTGCTGTTGCATCTGGGAAGCAATCAGAGGCAATCTGTAACTGAATGAGCATAGCTGTGTTCCAATAAAACTTTATTCATGAATACACATAACTTCAATTTCATAAAATGTTTAAATGTCACAAAATAGTATTCCTCTTTTGATTTTTTGCTACCTTAAAAATATAAAAACACTGTTAGTGCACAGGGTACGTATAGGTTGTAAGCTTGATTTGGCCTGTGGGCACAGCTTGCACACTCTTATTTTTCTTTCTAGAAGGGAACATGTGGCGCCCTTACTTAAAAATATCAGAAAAGCTCAGGGTTTTCTTTTCTACAGGTCTAGTAATATAGGAATATTCTCTGGGAAAGCATAAATCTTGGTTCTGGGTCATTTTCCTGACCCAGACATGTTTCCATCAATAATTATCTTGCCCATATTGTTTTTCATGAATCAAAGGAGAGAGATATATTTCAGAGTAGCCGATATGTAAGGGAAGTCACGCCACACACACACACACACACACACAAATTAGGTTTTTTTTTTCTTTTTTTAGGAGTGGATTTTTAAAATAAAAATCTTCCAATTATGCTATCTCTAAATGTTTACTTCTTTCTGGATGTCTACATTTTCCATTTAATTTAGTTCTTCAGCAGCGCTTCTGATACAATCAATTGTATTCAGAAAGTTTCAAGATAACTCTTCTAAGGTATCTGCTACTCCAGATACTTCAGTCCTATTACCAGGAAGCATTGCAAAGGTTTTCCTTGAAGAATCTGTGTGTAGACAGCAGGGAGGAGGAGGAGAGGGGAGAAACAGAAGAGTGTACCATTGACGGTCTATTGTCAGAGAAGCTGCTGTGTCAGTGACATCTGTGGGCTCTCCAGTCAAATACATGGTGACCCTGATGCATCCATGGCTAAAGGCAAAAGAGCAACTTCTCCTCTCTGTGGCAGCAGGCTCTCCTGTTCTTCAGCTGATGAAAAATTTCTACAGAAGGAAGGGGACAAAGAGAAAAGGAGCTGGAATCATGCAGGTCTTGAACTGTATTTTCAGAGATGAACCCAACGATTAAGAGATATGAGTAGAAGGGAGAGGTTGCAACCCACCTCTCTGCCCGTTTTCTGCTGGCTCCAGATAACCCTATACTGAGAGCTCAGTTTTTAACTAGCTTATTCAACTAGGGGCTCCTCTGTTGCAGAGCTAGGACATAGAGGACTGAGGCACTGGCTTCATTTGCTCTTTGGTGCATTTGATCTCACCTATAAACGGAAACAAATGCATGTCCCCTGTTTGTCCCCAACTACTTTTCACTTGCTTCACCACCAATCCTCTTTCTATATTTTGCAGAGAAAAGAGCAGAGCACTCTACCTTATGGAAGGCAATGGTATCAGGGCCAGCTTTTTTTTTTTTTTTTTTTTTTTGTAATTGAAGCCACTGCAGTAGCTTTAATATACCCACAGTTCTTACTGGAATCAAGGCCTCTGACTATTCAAGCCATCTACCTTCTTAGCAAGTTAAGATTGGGACAAAACAATTCTAGTTCTAGAACTTGTCAGCCTGAATCGAACCATCACAAACCAATCACACAAGGCTGCTCCCTTCAGCCCAATAGTTGCTATCATTTTCCCATGACGGGAATGGACTTGTTAGATCCTTTGGAAAAAAAACTCACCGGCAAGTACATCTCTCTGTCTATAGGTCTTTTCTATCCAGAAAGTTGTTGAGATCATCGGTAGTGGGTGAAAACGTGTCCTTTCGGGAGCAGTTTTTTAGACCAGAAGCATTAGTTATGGAGTTTGTCATTGTTGTTGTTCCTTCCAAGGAAGAGAATAAAGTGTAATCACACTAGGTCATGTGTAAATTTATGCTGTTTTTACTGGCTCTTAACCCTTTTCCTTCCAGGAATTGTTAAGTTCCTTTGCAGTCATATATCAGCCCTTGGGTATGTTCTCACCAAGAGTGACTGTTTGACGGTAAGGTCCCTCAGTAGACCAGCAGAATACAAGTCAGGTCATGCAACTGACTCCCTGGAAATTGCGTAAGAGAAATAAATACCCAGGTTTTTGTACAGAGAGGAAATTATGAAATCGAGCATGAATCCATAGACTCTCTTAAATTCTCCTGTGAGAAAAAAAGTTTTTCTTGGTTGAAGGGGGTTTTCAGTGGAATTAGGGGTAAAACCTTTTGTGTGAAAGATCTCCAGTTCCTAAGTTGCTGGAAAGCCTGCAGGTCAGGCAGCCTTCTGATGGAGACTCGGAGGGGGTCAGGAGACAGGAGCAAGCACAGAACATCTGTCAATGCTTAGAGTTCTTTCTTTTTTTCTTTGGTTTTATGTCATGATCTATAAGTCGACTCACAGCGAATTGCTTTCCATTATGGAGAAATATTTCCAACAATGATTTTTTTTTTTTTCTTGCTGACTAGATTGTCTCACCCTGTGGGGCTATGGCGTGGTTTTATATTATCAAGTGTGCTTGGTGCTTTTTCTGCGTGTTGCTTTGATAGGCAATACTTTTCAGTGGAGCCTGTGGAGCTGAAATCATATAGGTTTTGAGCTGTATTTTCAGAGATGAACCCAATGCTAAATCCTGGTAGTAATATAATTCAGAGCCGTCCACCTGGATCACCGGCTATGTTTGAGTTCCAATCCCCTTTTTGTAGGACTTGAATTAATGTATGGACTATGGAGAGAAATAAAAGGAACAAAGTCAAGCAATGCTTAAGGAAAGAAGATAGAACACAGAGAGGGGTAAACTAATTTCTGTGTTTAATTCACTTAGAAAAGAGCGCTGATTCATTTTGAACCCAGGATTAAAGAGACTTGTATAAACTTCCATTATACTGTCTGGATTTTGAAACTATGGATACGGCATTGGGGACTAAGCCTGTTGGGCTAAATGATACTTTGACCAGGTAGATGTTCAGATTACTTCTGAAAGAAAATTTAAATAATATGTGCATTGTAGTTTAGTCTAAAGGAGCTGCTTAAATTACGTGTACTTAGCTCATGTTTCACTGACGTGTTGAAGCTGTTTAACCTCAGAGCTTTACAGATCGTTTTACTTTTCAAAAATACCGAGAGTTGCCAGTATCTATTTTGAATTTTGCATATTTTAGTACATCATAAATATATGTGTAATGAGTGAACAGGTGACTTTTTAAATTGTCAAATGTAACTGGACTCTAAATACCATAAAATCAAGATCATTAAGGCAGGTTATGAGAAAGAGTCTTAGAACTGACCAAAGCTCTTCTGTTAGAACTAAGCAACTGCAAATCAAATCTTAGCCTTCTTTATCTTTTTATGAGGCTTTACGATGTGTCATCATTGGGTCAACAGAAATAATTGTGTACATGCATGTGTTTGTATGTGTGTGGCTGCATATTCATGTATTTTTTTAATTTGCTTTCTGCCAACTAAACTATTAAGTATATACCTTCCTTAGCTTAATCTGTGCAAAGGAGGCACTATCTTTATTTTATATAAAAATAATATACAGTGAAAGCAATAGTTTTGGACTTTGATAGGTAGGACATATTATTTTTCAAGGATTTTTTAAAAAACATTCTTACATGTTTAAAAAACAGCGCTCTTCTCTAAGTGAATTAAACACAAGGATTTTTAAAAAAAACATTCTAACACATAAAAGAGGTTTAGTCTCAGTAAATGGGAAAGCTGACGCTCCTAATTAATTTTTTCCCAAGCTGACTTAACAGGCAAAATGTGAGTATTCACATATTTCTGTTTACATGCAGGGAAATGGCAATCAGATTGCAAAAAAAAAAAAAAAAAAAAAAGCATTATTTATACTATCAGTTCCTGCCTTACTAAAACTTGGTGACTCAGTTATGCAAACCATACAAAAGAATAGACTTTTGTATTATTACAAGTTTTGAAATGAGATTTTGCAGATAAAAAGATCAGAAGCTGAAATACTGGTGATATAACTTAAGTCTATTATATAAATTCAGAGTTGTTCTAGCACTAATCCTAGAAACAATTTCTAAAAACATTTGCTTAAAATAATTCATTTAAATTTCTTTAACACTTAAAATGAATTGCATGTAGCTCAAATCCAAATGAAGCATAAGAAATGTCCAGATTTGAGCCTAATAAGCACTTTAAAAATCTAAGCACCTGTATTTTTTTAGCCTTATAATTTCTGCTTTAATGGCAATCAAGTTTAAAAAATGTACAGTTCCACTTATTCATACCATTCCTTTATAAAAGGCAGATTTCAAGTAAGCTTCTAAATGGATGTATAATGTAGAAACTAATATTTTCTGGCAGTCCTTGGTTCCTGAAAGTTGTACTTCATCGTATGTGTTTTAAACTTTTGTCAAAATAGTCATGAAAGATATGTTACTTTTGTGTTACAAGGTAATATATTAGGGGCGGGCACTCATAAGACAGTATAAATCCGCTTGTCTAAACTTAGATGAGGCTGTGTGCATTGTAAAATGTCACAGAGAGTTTTGGGTCAGTGACTATTTTGCTGAAGGAACAACACTTACTTTTAACTGATCACTTTTCTGCAATAAATAGCAAAGTAGGTTTTTGTAGCTGTAAACTGTGTACACAGATAACCAGAGGATAGTCTGTCATGGAGCTAAAAGTTTCACCTGAAAACTTGCATTTTCTTTTAATAGTCATATCATGCTATGAATATTATTATGCTATCATAAACCACTAATGTTATTGGTAGTCGTTGGGTGCAGCATTTTATTTTCGTATAGTTGCAATATAAGTTTTATTTATTTGTAATTTATACACTAGGGCTTTGAATATTAAAACATAAATTTATTGGAAGACTGGAATTAAATCTCAGTTGAGGATGAGTGCCTACATAATGGAAGCTGGTCAATGATGAAGGAAACATTCAATTAAACCCATAGATACTGATAAAATTTATTTTTAAAATGTAAGAAACTCTTGCACAGGGAAGCATGAAAATTGAGCCAAGCATTTGGAATTGAGTCCTGCATAAGGAGCAAAAATTCAAATTTCATATATTTTAGAGTTAGGAGAGAAATAATGTGGGGGATATGTGGGGGAGAATTAGAAAGTGGCTTTGAAAAATAGAGGTCTTATTTTAGGTTTCTAGATTTGTCTGAGCAGAGATGATAGCAAAAGTTATACTCTGCAGAAAGTAGAGGAATAAGCATTGAATTTGGTATCAGCAGGCTAGAAATCCACATGTATAGTCCCATTCACATGAGGAGATGGAATACAATTTCTATATCTCCATTTCCTTTTAAGTAAAAATTGGAATGTGGAAATCATATTAAGAAAACAAAAATGGAAGTGAAGATAACATGGTAGGGCTGCAGCCAGAAGCAACAGAAGAAGAAATGACTGTTTAATGTTCCAACAGCCCTACTTACACATCATATCCTTCTGCTCAGTCATCTGTAGATCTCTCCTTGTGTCAAGAATCAAGTGTCAGTTCAGCATCTTTGCCTTAAAAGACTAAAATCTAGTTCAAGTTTAATGTTCGATCTTAATATTTCTTTAAATACATTTATGAATTTGTTCAAATTCTGATCAATTGTGAAATCCATTTTATTTTTTTCTCTGTTTCATGCCAACCTGTACTATCAAATACAGAACTAATATGTTGCTAAGTTCCTCAGATGCTTACCTCTTCATTTATGACTTTTGTACTTAATTAAGCAATACATAAAGTTATTGATTTATAGACTTTTGTATGCATGTCTTATTATCCTAGCTAACATGTTTAATTTATTCATTTAGCATTTTCATCATCATTAGTGGCAGCAGCAATAGTAATTGAATAAATAGATACCTTTGATTAGGTGATCACAAAGTGGTAAGAATTTTACATATATTATTTCTCATTCTTATAACAATCTTTCACAACTAGTAAGTGGGAGGTTGCAAACACGTGTCAAGTTGACCCAAAGCTCAACCTCTCCCCACTGGGCAATACCGCTACTATCATCAAAGTCACATAATTTAGAACATCCTTGAGATTCAATGCATTGGAATTTCATTTGAAAGGACTGCACTAAAAAAAAGCTTTAAGAGCTCATAAGCTTTGACCTAGTAATTGCACATCACAAATCTATAAGAAAAGAGAAAGATATGAAGATAAAAAATCTCCAAGTCCAGGCAATTCATGCTTATATGGGTTAAAAAAAAAAACTGAATATAAAGGTATAAGGATAAGTGACAATTACAGTTCATAAAATATATGTGATCATTAAAATATATACTTCCAAATAATTTTAATTGCATGACAGATGTTTAGATAATATAAAAAGTGTGATGCTCGTGTATTAAAAATATGACACAATTGATCTTAAAATTATAGAGACTAGGTGCAGTGGTTCATGCCTATAATCCCAGCACCTTGGGAGGCTGAGTTTGGAAGACAGCTTGAAGCAAGGAGTTTGAGACCAGCTTGGTCAACGTAGTGAGACCCCATCTTTAAAAAAAAAAAAAAAAAAAAGTAGGTTAATTTTTTTTAATTATAAAACATAGAAATAGAGGAAAAGGAGAAAGGTATATCAAAACATTTATTTATAATAGTTGTCTTACAGTGGTGGAAATATGAACTTATATTATTTTCCACATTTATCAACATTCTTCTACATTTTAAAATGCTTATCTATTTTCCAAAATAGACATGCATCATTTTAGCAATAATTTTAAAAAATACCAAAAATACCCTTTTAAAAAACCCACAAGCTCTTAAAGCCCGTATCTCAAAATCTAGGCATTCAAGTATGTACATTTTCTTTCAAGAGTATCATTACAGTGTTGTTGACATTACTCAAAATATGTTTTGCATTTTCTTCATAACTTGTGGCATATTCCATAAATATCTACAATAGTGACTAGCTTTCACTGTCTGAAGTTTGTGTTTGTTTTAATTTTTTGTTTTGTTTTTGTAAGTTCTGGAAAAAGCCAAGTTGTATGAGTCTTAATGATCTTCCAAAGAAGTATTGTTAAGCAATGAGACATTCTAACAGGTGTTTTAAACATTGGATTCAGTTTGCTAATTGTGGCATCTCTCACTGGAAAGCATTTCTCACTGTGCTGTAGAGGGGGACTATGGATGCTGGTGGCAGTCTCATTTTCCCTGGTGGCTACTGATGGGTTTGTGTCTCCTTTAGAACCAATAGTTTCTAATGAATATTTTCTTGTCTCCTCTACTTCCTCCTTCCTTCCTATCCGCCCTGGCTTCATTATTTTCCCATGCAAATGTACGTGCAATATACAACATCAGGATAGCACATCCTGTAAAGCACAAAAGCAGTGTTTGTTGTCTGGAAAACCCTCCATATATGCTAGCTTATTATTAGTCTTCTTATTATTGCTTAATTACTATGATTAAATAGTGGTACTACACCCTTCCAGTTATATGGCTTGCTTTTCCCCAGTGATAATGAGGAGTCTACGCATAATGATTGACATTTTCTCAGCTGGTACCTCTTCTAACCAATGACCTGCACGTATGGTAGGGCTACCTGATCTAAGGAACTGCCATTTGTGGTTATAGAGGGTAAACCGAGGCTGTAAGGTCATTACCTTTGGGAGACCTAATGCATACCAGAAAAAAAACAGATGAAATGATCATTGTAATCACTGAATCAAGAAACATAGTAATGTAGGGCCTGGCCCTAAAATGAATATGGCATTTTCAGAGGGTAATCGTCTCATTCACATGAGATAAATGAAGTCTTCCAGAGCATGAGAGAAGAGGTAATTTACTAAATAATAACATGGATGCTCTGAAGTGTGAGCTTCTTAAAGCCCCACTTACTGTTTTTGGTTTTAACATGTTTGATGGAAAATAATGGTCATAATAATATAAGGATAAAGCAAGCACTCAACTATTTTCTCAATAAATGAGTGTATGATTTTGTTTTATGTATACATACAAACATATGAATAGTTGCAAACACAAGGGTATCTCACTTACTCAGAAGTTTTCCTCAGCTATTCATAACAGCAAATACAAAGACTAAGCTATTTAAATGCTCTGAGAAGCAAAATAGATTCCATAAATCCAAATCTTGAAGCTTTGTTACCCAAAATAGAGGTTGACCAAGCGAAGGTAACTCCAAATTCAGCATCTGTTCATACGACTTCAAAAATGCATCTTTAGATATGTTAAATTATATTTGCTTTTACATTACTTCAGCAACCTTGGTTACATAATTTCTCAGCCCAGTGCAGATTAGAATCAACAAATTAGGCTGAGCATGGTGACAGCCTGACAGATTAAAGGTACATTATCAGAAGCAAAAATGAGAACTGAAGGCTCACATTGACGGAGAGGAAAAACAAGCAGAAAGTCTTAAATAAGCTTAGTCTAGGGTCATTTAATGCGGAGGAAAATGCTCTACTGTACCTTGATAGGTCTACTGTCTTGCAGGCAAAAAATGAAATAGCTTATGTTTATTATAATCACATTAAGTAATTATCAAAAGTTATACTAACACATACTGTTCTTTTCATTTCATCATGTAACTGACATTTATTCTTAGAAATGACTTATAATTTATACACTTGATTACCTGTATATAGAAAGGTCTGGGAGCATAGCAGGCATTTGTGAAATTAATTGAATGAGGAGATACTCCGGTCTTCTGATGCGTTTTCAGCATCCTTAATATCACTATATATAGTAATATGTCATATTTATTAAATCTTCCATTACAAAGACTTCCCCATAAATCCTGCTTCATTCCATTCTTCAAATCTCTTTAAAATTATTGTTTTAATTGTTGCCTGATGCATTTTAGTGCTTAATCATAAGCTGCCTTATATTGTCATTTGATCATTTAAATGTTTCCTTCTGCCTTGTCTGTCTTCTCAATTGGACATTTGAACTCCTAAGGACAGGAATTTCTGCCCCTAGAACCCTTCCACCTTTCACCTCACTTAGCATGTAGCCAAAGTACCAAGTAGTTATTTCAACAAATACATTCATTGAATTTAATATGAAGATTAAATATTACCAATGTGGCAAGTGAAACTTAAGGCCAAAACTGTTTTCCAATAAGTAAGCTTGCATACAATCCCTTAAAATACCACAGTAAGTGGCTTGTTCTCATAGCAGCAGATTGCAAACTCATCCTGTCTACATTTCAGGGCAATCTGACAATGATTTATTTATTATCTATTGCTACTGATTGTCACTTTTAAGATTAGAAAGTGGTTAATATCCATCGGATACAAATGCCAGGAGTTTTTTTACCATTTATGTGAAATTGAACTCTCTCTCTCTCTCTCTCTCTCTCTCTCTCTCTCTATATATATATATATATATATATATATATATATATGGTTAATGGAAGTCTGAAAATACCTCTAATTGTTGGGCATCTTTATATAAATGCAAAAGAAAGATTTGTGCTTCTAGTGAAACAATCACCTTCTGCGTCACACAGCTATTCACAATCTGACTGCAGATCCAGATTGTGACTAATATTTGGCTCTAATGTTATAGGTGGTTACCGTGGAGAGAATCAGTAAGAGCATAACTGTCATTTCCTTGGAAAAATTTAATCCACAGATGGATCTCAACACCCAATTGCATTCATATCCAAGACTAATGGGGATTTTTGCTAAATAAGGCCTGACTTGGCCAAAAAAGATAGACTCTGAATAGAGAAATCTGTATCATGCATCACTTGAAAAGATATATTAATTCAAGCACTGAAAGCATTGGCACACAGGAATTTTCCTAATAGGGACATGATGAAAAGTCATTTATTAATTAAAATGCATTTATATTTCCTTTTTAAAAATAAAGCAAAAGAGTTATTCAATGCTACCATGCATTTAGAAAATTTCACTTGCAAAATTTAATCCTTCATACTTCCTTATTTAGCTAAGTAATTAAGATAATGATTCTACTTAGATTGGAAAGTTGGAATTCAACTCATTAATTTTTCCAGAACCTTCTCCTTCAAGAAGTAAGCCTTGCTGCGCATCCTTCAGTCCCCTGGGAGGAGAGAAGCTGGGGGATGTGATGCTGATAATTGACGAGAGAGACCAGGATTTTCCTATCCTATGAAACTATCTTGGCCTGTGGTGTATTCATGCTATTTAGAATAGACGACTAATGCAAAATCATTTCAATCCAGCCTGCATAAAAATGGCATCCCTTTCGGAGTGAGTGACTGATTTTCAAAGAGAGCTCATTACCTGGAACAACAAGAATAAAGAAAGTGTTGCCTCTCTGAATTCATACGGCTTGGAAAATTCTTAGCCATCTGCAGATGTACCAACTGAATCATAATAAAGAAGAAAAAATCTATAAGTGATTAATTTTCTTTTTCCATTTGGGCTTAACGTATTTTAAGGGATAATTAAACTTTTGGCCTGTTTCTTAGAAGTCCAGGAGGAAGCATATGTCAGAAGAAGCTTATTGAACTGAGCTGTTAACTCGTCCATTATCCTTTGGTTAATCTAGAGTTAACTTGTCAATCCTCAGGTTCTTTTAGCTTTAGGGTACAGTCTAGGTTCTTAACATCCATCAATTTTACAGTGTTAATTCAACCTGTTTATAAATAACACATAGCTAAATAAATGTTAAAGTAGGCCTCCCTTAGGGCAAGCATTATTCCCAAATGCGTGGCAACAGAGTTGGTAACAGGGCTTGGTGAGCAGCATAATCTCAATAAACAGAAACCACATCGCCATTTGGCTTTCAGAGCAGCCACACTGAGTACTTCGTCTATCGCACACCCTTTTAATTTAAGTACCTTGCTCAGGGCTAAGAAAAGAGGCACACTCCGTAAGGCAGGATTAAGTGCGTATCTGCAAAGCCTAAGCAACCATATTTCACCAGCACCTCCTAGGGGCCACGTGTGGATATGAGGCTGGGAGGTGGGGACGCGCGCCGAACCTTTCCTTTAATTGTCAGCTCACGTCTTCTACACACAAAAATCCACCCCGACTGCGCCGTCCACGATACCAGCTAGTTTGCTGAATTAGTTTAGCGGCTCAAAGAGGCCTGTAGAGGTTTAAATAAGCTGCACAAACAACACATTTGATCGCTAGAGGAAATAAACATTTTAAAAAACTTAGTGGAAGGAAAGCCTCCTAAATATATTCTGTTCTTTAGGAGCAAAGCTTAGTTAGGACACCGAACTACTCAGAAATAATATACACTTACTCTTCGATTTACACACACACACACACACACACACACGCGCGCGCGCGCGCGCGCACGTACGGATTAGTTTATAAAGTTCCAGAATCCAGACCCGGTTAACACTCAAGTTGCTTTTTAGGGGTCTGCGCGCTCTCGCCTGGCTCTGCTGGGAACGAGAGCTGGGAGGCGCTCAGGCGAGGGCAGATCTAAGTGTCTGTAGGAGTAGCTATTCCAGAAAAATCATTACTCTCTAATTGTTCTGATTTTAGATCAGCAAAGCGTGCCGGGCGGTGGTGGAGAGATTGAGGGCGGAGAGGGCGAGAGGGAACGAGCCGTCTCCCCTTCAGAGAAGCCTAGGCTCCTTGTAAGTACTTCGCCAACAGTCCGGTGAAGAGACAGCCGAGCGGCGCTGCAGGGGCCGTACTTGCGCGCGTCTCGGTCCTGGGGGCTCTGCGCGCCCGTCCCAGCCCCTCGCCCCATTGACTCAGCGGCCTCTCCGCGCGCAGCAGCCTCGGCTGGGGGCTTCGGCAGAGAGGGAGGGGAGAAGGAGACGCGCCGGGGCCGACAAGCAGTCCTGCCCCGGTGGCAAACGTCTCTCCCGGGCGCTGGCACCTCGCAGGCCCCCTCGAGGAGCACGCAGGGCACAGCGCCCCCGCGAGGAGGGGAACCGGGAAGTGCGTGGGGCTCGAGACGGAGTAGGAAGCTTTGCTCAAGGCCAGGCTGCAATCAGGCAGCCGCAACGGCCGGGCGCGGAGCTTCCCACCTGCTGCTGTCCCAGCTGGGCCGCAACTTCCTCCTCCCAGGCCGGGGCCCGACTCCCCGGTCGGCGGGGCTCCGAGGGTGGAGGGGGAGGAGGCGGCGGCAGGTTCCCTCTGCTGGCTACGCCTCGTAGCATCCTCCCCTCCCCGCCGCGGTTCCCGGGGCCGGCCGCGCGGCCAGGCGCGCTGCGATTGGCCGGCGGCGGCCGGGGGCGGGGCCAGGAGAGCCGGTGTCGCACGGACCGCCTCAAAAGAGCCCAGGATATTGCAGAGCGCACTGGAGCCCTGGCCAGCGCGCAGCCTTCCCGGCGCCGGCAGGCCGGGTCTTGGGAATTCTGGTTTGCTTTGGCTCACTCGCTCTTTACAAACTACTGGATCTTACATGCCTCTGTACCCCCCACTTCCACTCCATGTCCCCATGCTCCTGCGCCAGCAACAGGTAAGGGCTGCTGTGTTTTCTTCCTTTTTGCTCGCTGCCTGTGTGTCCTGGGGAATGGACTCTGGCCGCCGTCCCCTACCCTACCCTGCCCCGCTGCTCCAGAGGTGCCCAGCTGTCACACTGCTGTAGCGCTCACCCACGCTCCGGAGTCCCAGATCATGCCTATATAGTTTGTGTGCGCACCAGAACATCCCCAGAGCTAAAAATACTGAGACATGCTTGGAACAGTTGAGCAATAGAAACAGATTTCTCTGCAGCATCTGTTTGTGCTCATAACTTCCAATGCACCAGCTGTAGCGAGATACTGGGTTTGGAGGCAAGGGCGAGAGTCTGTGTTCGGTTCTCACTCTAAGAAAAAAAAAAAGGCGATAGGGAATTTGGTTTGGGGGTGCGTCTCTAGCCTTGGTCTTAAAGCTTGGCAAACCTTGGGGCTCAGCACTATTTTTGATCCTTGGCTTTTTTTTTTTTTTTCGTCGTTGCTTCAAGTATAGCTGTGAGTTTCAAACAGAGTAAGTGTCTCAAAGTTGCCTTCCTGGAAGAAAAGCGGGAGCTTGAGTTCGGTTTGAGCCTGAGGATCGCAAAACTTTCGCATTATATATTACTCTCCCCTAACCAATTTGTTGTGTGTAGTAATAATGGCATTAATACCTAGCTTGAAGACAGTGTGGCTTTAGGGAAGCAAAATAGTCAAAACGACTTGATTCTGCAGAAAGATTGCATCATAGCATGGATTCATCATGACAATTGGAAAAAAAATGATAGGAAATGGGCAGTTTAATGTCTGTGTCTGGGAAAGCATATCAGCAGGATGGTCACTAGGATCAGGCTGTGAATTCTGGTGATTTTCTTAAATTCAGAGTTTACCTGTTAGGAAATAAGGTGTTATTTGAAAATCTGTTTTGTATATGCAAAGAATCTACATTGCGTTTTACCATTTGTTTTCTTTTCACATTAATAATCAATAGACTGCCAGATTTCCTCTCCCGACCACTGTTCTGTGTCTGCTGTACATTATCTCTACACTTGTTAGCGTTTTCCTGCTCACTTCCAAATGTTTTATTTGTGTTTGCCATTATCTGGAAAAATCCTGGTGCTCTGAAAGTGTAAGAGATGTTAATTGAAGCATGGTGGAAAGGGTGAGAATAAGGTCAAGGTCATTTTACTTAGCTTTCTGCCCTCCTCTCTCATATTTTGATGACACTTTATTTTTTAATATTCTTGGTCTCCATAAGAAATATTTGATCTAAATTCTCATGAATTTGGCATAGAAAAATAAAAGAACACAGTCTTTCTACATCCTTCGGCCTCTTCAGTTACAGAATCGCTGGTTAGCTGTAGTGTCCTTATGTGACTTTTGCGTAACCTGAAAGATTGACAACAACTACCTGCACAGATTGATTTTTTAACTGTATATTTTTGTTTACCAGACATGTCTGTTTTTCAGCATATGCAAATACTGAGCCATGCTACAAGCCAAGCGTGGTTGAGCATAAATGTCAGACATGGGACTCACATAGATAGGTATCCCCCTACCCCTTCCCACTTCCCCCTCCTCCTCCCTTATGTTTATTGAGCTTCTAAGAGGTTGCTTTCCTAGCAGTTGTGCTCACATAGCAACATGTGCCCAGAGCACACTCAGGCTGGTCTATATGGCGTCAACTGGGGAATAGCTGTTCTAAACACTCATTAGCAGACCTCTCAGCCCAGTACATTTTCTTTTGCTATCTTTCTTTCCTATCCCTAGAAACTTTCTTATTCATTACACACCATGACCACATTACAGGACACATTTATTCTTATTTGATTTTTTTAAAGTTATTTATAAGCCATATTGGAAGTATTACCTATATAGTCAAAACAGTTTAGATTCCCCATTTGTACCATGCAATCTCCTTGACCTTATCCATAGCTCTTTCTCCTTTAACATCTACCTAAGTTTGAAGCGCTGAACTATTTTTTCCATTGCTTATGCTTAATTTTGGCTCAGCCTATAAATAGTCTTAACATGAACAGCACCACATGTATCGTCTCAATTTCCCAAAAATACTTTCTACATCATAGGTTATGGCCTGGATAAAAATGATTATTTGTGTCCATGAAATTTACATCTAGGCCCTTACATATTTTGACTGAAAGGGGAATTTACACATTGTTTATCAAATTAAAATTTCAGTTCTCTGGATTTATATCACTTAGTGTTCTCATTTTTTCTAATTGATTGCATCTCAAAACATTATTTTGAATACAAGCTTGAAATAAAATTGCATGAAAGCCCTATTTTTTAATGATAGCTTTTCCCAGCTGCTCATGAATTGGTAATTGCTAGTGAAACCGAGCAGGCAAGGAAGTTTTCTGCTTGCTTAAAGTCACTCAGGCATGTGGGCAGGTTAACAGTAAAAGCAATTTTTACCATATAACATTAGGACTGTTACCCCATCAAACCCTGACAGGTTCTAGACTTTTGCTATGTAATCAGCTCCACAAAAAGTCCGAATACATATGCGTGTGCACATGTATACACACATAAATCTGTTTTAGGGCATATCTATTTGAAGTGGCAAAAGTTTTCATTTTGCCAGAAAAGTCCTCTTTTTCTCTTTCCAGGAAGAAATGGTAAAATTTCTAAATGATGCTCCACATGTGGAACAAATTCTGTTATTAGCAATGGAAATCAGACAATAATAGTCTCTCAATACAGGCTACTTTCGAGATTCTAAATGCGGAAAACTATTCATAGGAAGCTGGTATTGTGTGATTTGTGGAATTCAAACAAATGTCTTGGGGTCAAGATTTTTGGAAAGTCACAATTCAGTCTTTAGATTTCATATGGTTGTTATGTTTTAATCTGGAAGGAGTACAGAAAGAAGTCAGAAGAAATTTGAGACTGTCTACTCATGGCCCCTAATGGTAACTCACATGGAAGGATTGTTTTGAATCATGAAAAGGGAATTTCTTGGTGTCAGCTTATAATGTAAAGTTCTGAAGTCAATCAGAACTCAGGAATACAAAGCATTCATTAAATGAAGCTCTTCTACCCTTTTTTGAAACGTACACCTGCATTTGGTGT